GATTCTGTGACTGGACCCCCAATTTCTCCAGCCTGCAAGCACCCCGTCCAACCCAGGGCTTGGGGAGCGAGGAGACAGCTCAGCACCAGAGTGCAGATGCTCAGCAAGGGATCCTCAGTCACAGGGAGATGCTGTTTCCGGCTGCACCATGTCAGGAGCTTGGCAGAAGTGTCTCCTCTCCCATCCAAGCATCTCAGTGGCACCAAGGAGGCTGCCTGAGCCGCGATCCCTGCTGCCACGATGACCTCCCAATTCCACATCTGCAACCTCCTCTGGTTCTGTCCCCAGGCACAAACGCTGCCCACGGCTGGTCCTGCTCCGGGCTGTGGGCAGCAGAACCACAGTGGAGCTGGTACTCAGCCAGCTCAGGAACCAGCAAGAAGCCCACGTGCCAAGTGTCTCCATTCACACCAGTACCCACCCATCACGTCGGAGGGAGGTGGAGGATGGCTTTGTGAGGCTCCATGAGGATGGGTCAGCGTTGCAAAGCAACAGCCCATGGAGCTCAGGCTTCCCCCAGAACAGGCAGCAAACATCCTACAGGCAGATGATGTGTTTGATCCCCAGAACTGAGTCAGATTGGATCCACCTACCAGATCCACCTACGAGGCACCAGTCCACCCGCAGACCCAGGATGGTTCTGCTGGGGCTTTCTTTCAGGCTCAGTCCATGTTGTCCAGCTTGGAACAGCATCTGCCACGTGATATTTGGTCGCAGGCTTTTCCCAAGGAGAGCTCAGTGCCACAGAGAACCTGTTCTTTGGGGTTTTGTTTAAAAACCATCTTTATTTTTGTCTCTTCCTCTAGGATGGAGAAGACCTCAGGATGCAGGCAGGTTCTGGATGCATACTGGATATGGCCTGGAGCCTTCAGGTCTACTGGTGGGATGAATGACAGAGGTGGAAACAACTGCTGGTTTATGTCTAGCACATCATTTTCAGATTAGGCCATGCCCAGAAAGTTCTTTTAAGATAAATTTTCTTGCCACGTGAATTAAATGGACATGATTTTACAAGATGCAATGAAATCTCATCGTAGTCCGTGTCAGGGTCAGCAGTCCAGCCACCACTGCCAGGGCGTGCAGAAGTGCTGCGTGCTCCCATGGCATCAGTCAGACCCTGGCAGTCCCAAATCCAGCCCTGGGGGGACAAAGCAGCCCCTCCTGCATGGCTCCAAGGCCACCATTCCTCCTGCTCCTTTGCCACAAGCTGAGCATTCAGCCAGTTACTCATTAACTGGCTTTACAGCCCAAGCCAAACAGCGACGGCACAGCCCGTGCTGCCCTGCACCTCTCCCAGGTGTGCAGCACCTGTGCCAGCTCTGGTGCCAGTACAGCCGCTGCCAAGGAGCAGCTGGAGCCCCCTGCATGGCTCCAAGGCCACCATTCCTCCTGCTCCTTTGCCACAAGCTGAGCATTCAGCCAGTTACTCATTAACTGGCTTTACAGCCCAAGCCAAACAGCGACGGCACAGCCCGTGCTGCCCTGCACCTCTCCCAGGTGTGCAGCACCTGTGCCAGCTCTGGTGCCAGTACAGCCGCTGCCAAGGAGCAGCTGGAGCCCTCTCTGTGTCCCTGGAGGAGAGCCCAGCCCCATAACCCTCACCTCTGCCTTGGGTGGGCACAGCCAGAGCGGGGACAACCCGGCCATCTCTCTGACTGCAGCAGGGGACAGGTTTGGGTTTGGCTGCAGCTGTAGCATCACCAGTTTGGTTTAGGAAGGACAGCAACTGGTGGTCCTGGAGAGATTTAGGACATGTGTACACCTCCTGCCAACTTCTGCCACCTGGGCCAAGAGCCAAAGGTGATGGAGCCACCGCCGTGCAAGCAGCCCAGCCCCGGGTACCTGGGTGTCATCACCCAGGGAGTGGGTGCTGCAGGCAGAGCCCAGCTCTGGGCAGGGCAAGCTGGGCAGCAATGGGTGAAGGATCTGAGCCTGAGGAGCAAGTCCTGAGGGCTTGGTTCCAGGAGACACAAAGCTGCTCTTGCTGAGGCTCTCCTGGCAAAATCTAAGGTGTGCCACACACCTGCAATTTGGGGTGCCCGGGGCTGGTGCAGAACAGGCTGTGCTGGGGCTGTGTGGGGCTGTGGGCAGGCTGGAGTTTGGCCACTGTGGTATCTGGGAATTAGCATCCAGATTGGTCCCATCCCATCTGAGATCTCCTCCACAGCTGGCAGGCCCCAAGTTCATGGTCACCATGCATGAGATGAGCTGGAAAGCCGGTGACAGCCACTCCTTACTGTGTCAGTCTTGGAGCTGCAGGCAGGACACGGTGGGGAGAGACTTGGTGGCTCTGCCAGGGAAATGGTGACGGTTCCCCAGGTGAAGGAAGACTCTCCTCTTCACACCCGCAGCCAACTGGGAGAGCTGGAGCCTCACATCCTTCTGCCAGTAGGAGTAGAGAAGGGGGTTGAGGAGGGAATTACCCAGTCCCAGCAGCCAGAGATAGTTCTCAATGACTTTGTAAGGGAAACACTCCAGACAGACAGTTTGCACGATGCTGGCGATGAAGAACGGCAACCAGGAGAGAGTGAAGCACCCGATGAGCACGGCGACGGTGCTCATGGCCTTCATGTCACTGGTGGTACGGGATGGGGGGCAGCCCCCCGCCAGCCCAGCGTGTTCCACTTCCCGGATGTGCTGCACATGCACAGAGGCAATTTTCAGCATGTCACAGTAGAGATAAATGAAGAGAAAGAGGGCTGGGAAGAAGCCGACGCAGAAGACAGTGACCATGTAGGCAGGGTGGAAGACACCGAAGAAAGAGCACTTCTCATCGGTGGAGATCTTCTGAAAACCAGGGGTGAGGACTGGGAGAAAGCCAATGATGGCAGAGACCAACCAGAGCCCCACCAAGCGTACCCCAACCCTCAGGCTGGTCACCATCTGGAAATAGTGGAAAGGTTTCCTGATTGCCAAGTGCCTGTCGCACGCAACCAGAATCAGGGATAGGATAGAGGCAGCAGAAGAGGAGGTCACAAAAGCCATTCTCAGGACGCAGAAGATCTGAGGAGGATAAAAGGGCTCAGAAAATTCATCCACCACCAGCCCCACCACCGTGAAGCCAACCATGGCATCTGCAATGGCAAGATTAAGGACAAAACAGAGTCCCTTGGAGCCGCTCTTCTGGATGAGGCAGAGGAGGGTGATGGCCACCAGCGCGTTGGCAGAGATGATGAGCGAGGCCAGCACAGCGAGGATGGCTCCCAGGGCTGAGCTAGGGGTTAGCCATGACTGTCCCCTGTAGGTCACAGCTCAAGGATGGCGTGTCCCCAACACGATTTTAGGGCATCCCTCACCTGGAGCTTCTCAGCAGCCAGGGCAGCCCCTGGCTCTGCGGGTGGTGAGGTGAAGCTCTGGGTGCAGCGATGTCTCTCTGGGGTTGAGGAGTGGAGCTCTGTGGAGCAGCTGCCTGCAGGAAAAGCCAGATGGACTCACAGCACCCGCTGTACCCACAGAGGTCCCTCCCCTCCAGCCACGTTTCCAGACAACCCTGGAGCAGGGGAGGGTGAGCAGTGAGCACCTGGGCAGGAAGCTGCCACGATGGCACACAGGGTGGTGGATGTTCCCCCCGCCAAGGATGTCCCTGAGCAGAGCCAGTGCCCTGCTTTGAACAGGGAACAAGCAAAGAGAGGTCCCAACACCCAACTCCATGGGCACCACGTGTAGGTGACACAGCTCATGGGGTCACTGCCAGACCCAGGGACTAAAGGGACAACCATGATCCCTGTCAGAGCAGCAGCCGTAAAGGTGACCTGGTTCTAACAGGGAGAAGTGCTGACAAGAGACAGTTGTTAAAATAGAGCTGGAGAAAACATCTGCCAGCCTGGGAACCTGGCGTGTCCCTGTCCCTGGCAGGGGTGGCTGGGAGGCTGCAATGACCTCCATAAGCAGAGCTGGGAGCCCAGGGCACCCTCTGTGAGCCCAAAACAAGGAACCTGCCGTCATCAAAGAGCCTCTGGAGCAAGCAGAGACCAACCAGCCAGCACCAGCAGTTCCAGGAGCTGGTGTCCTCTGCCCACTTAGGGATCCATGTCAGAGGAACTGGTGAGCCCCTCTCAGAGCTACCCCTGTGTGACCTTCTCTGCATCACCCTTCGGACCCAGGGGTGACTCCAGGCTCTGTGACACGGATCATCTCCAAAGAGAGACTTGGATTGGCCTCACTCCAAGGAGCAGCTTACTGAACTGCACCATAATTGTACTGTTCCTCCCCCTCTGCTCTGCCCTGGTGAGGCCACATCTGGAGTGTTGTGTCCAGTTCTGGACAGAAACCATCACACCCAGAATCTTGTGTGTGACACAATCCTCCACGTGTCCTTTACACGGGGTGGGAACCCTCCTGAGCTGTGACCACCACTGCTCCTTCCCTTTAAACAAAGCGCCACCAGCCACCTCTCCTGCCTCTTGAGCTGGAAAAAATCCGAGCAGCTGGGAAACAGGGCAGGTTACAGCCCCCCCCTGTCAAACAGGAACCTGGGGAGTGCAGGGGGATGGGGAGAGGCTGAGAGTGGAGCCCAGGCAGGACACGGGCACTGGGGTGCGGAGGAAAGAGGCAGCAGATGTGAGAAGTGCTGGGTTCAGTGTTGGGCTCCTCACTCCAAGAAGGACATGGAGGTGCTGGAGCGTGTCCAGAGAAGGGAACGGAGCTGGGGAAGGGTCTGGAGCACAAGTGTGCTGAGTTCCCTTGTGGCTGAGGGAACTGGGGGGGTTGAGCCTGGAGAAAAGGAGGCTGAGGGGAGACCTTCTGGCTCTGTGCAAGTCCCTTGGAGGAGGGTGGAGAGAGGTGGGGGTGGGTCTGTTCAACCAAGGCCCAAGGGACAGGACAAGAGGAAATGGGCTCCAGTTGTGGCCAGGGCAGTTGAGATGGGATGTGAGGAAGAATTTCTTTGCTGAAAGGGTTCTGAGGCATTGGAAAGGGTTGCCCAGGGCAGTGGTGGAGTCCCCATCCCTGGAGGGATTGAAGAGTCGTGTAGACACAGTGCTGAGGGACATGGGTTAGTCATAGGGGACTGGTCAGTGTTGGGTTCATGGTTGGACTCAATGATCAGCCCCAACAAGCCTTTCCCTTTTCTCCTGCATCAGTCTGGCTGTTTTGATGGATTCATAAAGGACTTAATCAAAAAAGCCTTTTGGAAACTCACAGACTAGATTAACTTCTGAGTCCTTCAGAAACCTCCCAGCAGGTTTGAAATCTGGATTCCTCCTCCTCTTCCTCATCCATCAGCCCTTCCAGCACATCATAGCCATGTATGTCTCAAATCATCATGAGTTTCTACCAGTGTGGCAAAGACCTCGCAGCCACTGGCTGGTTCACAGCTGTATTAAGACTGGGAGGGGGAAGCACAGTAATTAGCAACCCCCTAATTGGCATTTGGCTCTGCCAATGAGATATTCCATCTCCTGTCCCCCACGGGCAGGACATTGCCCAGGGCTGAGCGGGAAGCTGGGGATTCTCTCGGGGATGGCTCGGGCTCTGGCTCTCCCGGGATTGCGGGTTGGGTTTGGGGACTGTCTCTGCTCCGGGGTCGCTGGCTGGGACAGGCTGGGCATCGGCCGGCGGGTGCTGAGCAGCTGCACTGGGCAGCACTCAGCTGTATATTCTGATATTACTGTTATCATCATTATTAATTTCAATTAATAAGGGGTTACGATGCTCATTATGGGTTGGGAGTTTTGTTTTTAAAACATCAACCAAATAGTCACTTACCAACTGAGAAACCCAAAGTGACTCAGCTTTTCCTCTCTGGCAGCTGCAAAGACAAGGTGCTTTCGGGGTGAAGGGCTTTCTGAGCACCTTCAGGATACAGCCCAGGTGTGCTCACCACCGTCACATCCGCAGAGATCACCACCACCACCGGCTATTTCCCTATTGACAAAGTGAGGTGGGGTGACATGTGGCAACATTTACGACAGCCAGAGCAATCACAGCTCAGATAAGGGACCTCTCCGGGGGCTGGGGACCACTTGGGCAAGCGGAAGGAACATCTCCAAAGCCATCCAGGGGAGCTGATCCAGTGGGGGGAATAATAACCAATAATAACCAATAATAACCAATAACCGTGTCCTGGGCTGCACCCAGAGCAGCGTGGGCAGCAGGTGGAGGGAGGG